TATAGAACTCTAGTGAATGCAGGTAGGTCATTTTAGCATAAAAGTACCTGATAATTGTCTATAAGTGTTCATAATTTTAAAGGAACACTAGTCACTTTCTTACATAATGACATAATCTTTAGCCACAATATATAATGCTGTACATTTTAAATTAATTTTGAGTGGCCTACATTTCTACTCACAAGCTAATAAGATGCAATGCAATTAAAAGATGAGTTTTATGTAAAAAAAAAAAAGCATATCAGTCAACTTAAACGAACTCTTGTTCCCAATGATGACATATTATCCTCTAATTAAATCAGCTAAGATAACTCTGTTTGCAAGGATCACTCTAAAATTAATTCCCAAATCAAGAGTTTAACAAGTAGCACTCCTAATAGCCGGGATTTTAGATTGCTTTGATACCTGGAATTAATGTAATTCTTTTAGAAATCTAGTGACCTGCCAAATCATAAAAAAAAGAAAAAGAAAAACATTTGAAGTTCAGCTAATTCATTTATAAATCACACTGTTCATCCAAAGGACTTTAAAGACATCAGCTAACTAAACAGAGGGCAAAGACCTCGGATTCTTTGAAGCAGGCAGATAAATGGAACTTAAATAATTTATCCCAAAGTAGGACATTTAATATGGCAATAAAAGAGGAATAGTTTTCCCATTTATGTTAATCTAGTATCTACATGCAAATAAAAAATGTGTTAATGGCAAATGTTTTAAATAAGTTGGTTTTCTGGGGGAGCCGAGGACAGGATGTGTTTCCAAAGAAAGGCAAGGCCTATCTGACAAAGGTCAGGCATGTGTGATGTATAGGGTGTGTGTGTGTGTGTGTGTGTGTGTGTGTGTGTGTGTGTATCTTTGAAGCCAATAAAGGACTAAAAAAAATGTTAGTACATCAGCAGAGAATAAAAGAATGTCTTTTTTTCCTTTTTTTTTTTTTACTGTAGACCTTGAGATAAACAGCTGATAAACTGACATCAAAGAGATGTGAGAACAGTTTAATGATATCTTAACATCTAGCTGCAACCCAACTCTCAAAATGCCTGAGACAGAAAGCAGGGCAAAGTACATGTTGAAAATAGAGATTATTATAATTTTTGTCTTAATCTGTAGAGATAAACTGCCCTCCTCTTCTTACCCCCATTGATAACTTCTTATCATAAGTTTTGTTAGACTGATATTACAGTAGGTCCACAACAAACCAACACATGCACTTTAGTTTCTATGTTTTACATAGCCATATCAATACAATAAAATGATTAGGATAAAATAAATAAAGGTATTGTGTCTACAAAAATATTTTTTAAAAAAATGATTAGGAAAATGCACAAATATATTTTAGTGGTGGGGATGTGGCCAATTCTTGAGAAGATAAAAACAAATTCAAAGTGACTCTGAGATATTATAGATATTACAAGGATGCATAGGGTGATTAATAAAGGAAGCTATATATGTATGAGGTGGAGTTAGAATACATTCTTAATGCATTTATTCAACAAATGCTGGAAGCTTAATACTTTAAGGCTCTGGGCCATGCTAGGTTTCTAGACTCTGGCACCAACCTGCCTCAGCTTCCGTCTAGCCTGGTCATCCTTGCCAAGTTAATTAGTTAAGTCTTTTCTGCTCCATCTTTTCATCCATAAAATAGGGCTAATGTTAGCATATACTAAATCATTAGAAATATTCATTAAGGTAATGCTTTTAAGGTGATGCCTCTACAAAGGTGATGGGCACAGTTTCTCAATGAGAGATTTATATGAAGCTACATGCCATGGAAACATGATCACATAAGTCACTGTTAACTACAGAGTATGATAACTGAGGACCCCAACAAGGCTTGGGGATTAAGACAGTGGCAGAGTAAAACAACAGGCTCTGCTGTCAGTTGTGGAGTTCCTTGAGTAGTTTAGAGCCACCAAGATGAGTTGGACTGGAAAATGGGATAACACAGGATTACTCGATGCTTGAGGAAAGACTGGAATCTGTCACGCTGAGGATCTACTGCTCACTATCCTCCCGGAAGATAGAACATGAGAAAATAAATGAGCATTAAACACCATGAAGGCTTTTGGCTAGATGTGTGAAAATATTTCCACACCACAAGAATTCTGAAGTATGAGAATGGAGAGCTGAGAGGGCTCAGGAGTCCACTCTTCTTTGGAGGTCTTCAAACAAGGATGGATAGAGTCGATCTGATCTGCCTGTGACAGTTTAAAATCAGGGCTGAGTGAAGATTGATGATGTAAACTGCCCCTTCCCAAGCACTCTTGGAGAGGAGAACTTCATATATTATCTATCACAGTCCCTCATCTGATGGTCTGAAGAATTCTTCTCTATCCTAGAATAGAAAGCAATATTATTTACAACTGCAAGTTCTAAGTAAAACCTTAAGGTCATCGATAATGCCCTCATTATAGATCAGATATTTCCCTAAGCAAGCTACCTGCAAACATCTTCAACCAGAAACAGTTCTTCTCATGAATGGGAAGTCTAAAGAGTTTGTTTTTAAATGCAGGTTTCCTGGGGTATCACCAATGGCACATGCCAATTCTCAAGCAAACCACTGGATGTCTAAACAAGGCAAAGGATGAAAAGGAGTTTAAAGAAAGGATAACTATCATAGAAACTCTCACTAATTCTAGATAATTAAGTGTAAATATTATCAAGAACTAGAGCAGAGTGAAATTATTATTATTCATTTAACAACTGATCATATTTCCTTACTGGTTATTCCAAAAGCAATAGCAAACCTAATTTACTTTAGCATTAAGTTTACTTCGAAAAAAAAAAGACAAAAAACACAATTATCTTTCAATTAATTATTTTCCTATCAAATGTGCCTCTTACACCCTGGTAATCAGGACCTTGATTATGTTCACCAGCATCAGTGTGCCCTTTGTCCTGGAAAGTGAGTCTAAGAGCGCACACATTTTAGGAATCCATAGCTGATAGGCAGAACTTAATTGTAAAGAAGCAGGGAGGAGAAAAAAAAATAAACAACAAAAGCCCTCTGCTGTTAAAATACTACTAAAAGATTTATATAAACCACTGGGAATGCTCTCCAAGAAAGTAAATGTTGCCTACAGAAATCATTTATATTGAAAGTCTTCACTTTGCTCTTAAGGAGATTTTCTGTAGTGCTGAGGATGAACTATGCTCTCCTGAGAGTCTCATATCCACCAACGAATACCGAAGCAATTTTAAAATACTTAATTATTTTCTTCTTTGAGATATCTAAAATCGTGTAGGGAAATATCTGTGTTTGAAAGATACAATTTGAAAAAAAAGGATAAGAGGAGAAAAAGTTTCTAAAGCGTCCATATTAGAAACCTTTTAAAAGTTGAATTCCCTGAGATTAGGGAAGGGGGGTAAAAGCAAAGCTGATTCTTATCAATTAATTAAAAAGAATGAAATAATAGACAAAGAGGAAGGAGAGTTAAGAAACTTAAGGAGTTGTAAGGGCAGTTGCTCTCTATTCATTGATTAACAAATTAAGGAGTTCTGGAAAAGGGAGACACGAAGTGACAGGGATGGAAAAGTAGTCTTATAATTCACCCCAGGTTCCGCCTGGAGTCGGAGGGAATGTCTGGCTGTGAAGTGAAAAAGGCTCCCTCTATACAAGGCGCCACGCTATATGATATATGTGCCTTTTTTTTTTTTTTTTTGGTAATGCCCAAATTTATGTAAATGTGTTAATTTCAGTGTGAGTAAAGCCCTTCACTCCTAGAGTTTGGAGATCGCTCACAATAAAACAGCAATTCCACAACGTAATGAAACTGTGCTGTTTTTAAGATAACTGCAAAACGCTTTTCATCCATCCACCAGTTCTTTGGCAAAATGCAGAGAGCAGCTGAAGGAAATCCAGCGTTTTGCTGGGCGATCTGAGGTCATTAAGGACTTCATCTACCCGGTTTGAGCAGCCCGCGCCCTCACAGCATCTCCAGGTTTCCTTTAGCCTCTCTCAGTTCGCTTCTCTCGCAGCCAAAGGATTATCTCTCGCCGACACGTTTCATTCACAGAGCCCCAGAAAGGCTGGGATTCGGTTGGAGCTAAGAGCTGGAAAACAGGCACCCAGCCTGCTGCGCAAGTTGTTGGAGACCAAGTGCTACACACTCAGGCGCCCAGAAAGAGGGTGGGGGCTCTTGAGCTCTCGACCGAGGAATGCTAGTGGGGGAGCATGCGGGGGACGCGGGGTCCGCAGACCCAGAGCCCAGTCCCCAGCTGAGACACCCGCGCAAGTTGGCTAAGCTTCCGAGAGCCGGCAGGCTGGCGAGGCCGAGCTCAGGACCCGGCGCCGCGCAGGGTGGCTGGGGTGTCTACCCAACGCGAGTGACCAACCGCAATCGGGGAAGCACGGAGGAACCGTAACGGGAAAGCCCGCCCCAAATCTGAAATAGGCAGTCCACGAAGTCCCCCAACCCGCCCTGAAACGCCGCCGTCCGGAGGCCTGGGCTCCGGCGGGTGTCCCCTAAGTTTAGCCCGCCCCCAGCACGAGCACCAAGCGCTCAGCTCCCCGAACCAGCCGGAGAGTAGAGAGAGGGGCTGGGGAGCCCTCCGCGTCTCCCCGCCGCCCCCGCCGGCGCGAAGGCGGGAGTGGAGAAGGCGCCACTCAGACTGTGGCGCTGGGCAAACTGCGGTCGCAGTTCTTCCAAGTTTGCCCAAGCGAAAGGCGCAGGGTGGGTGCCCCGCTTAGCGATCTGCTCTCGGCCCGTGGTCGTCCCCGAGTGTCCCCGGTTCCTCGGCCCGCCTGGCCCGCTCTAACAACAGAGGTGGCCGGGCGGGAGGGAAAGAGGGTGCTCCCGCGTGTGCACACAATGAGGCAGCGGAGACGCACACCTTCCCCCGCGAGAGAAGCCGCGGGAGCATCCGCCACCCGGCGGGGAGACGCAGTGCCCGGAGGATTCCTGACAGAAAGTGAACACACCAACTCAGCAACAGGGGAAAGGAAGAGGGCGTGCAGCCGCCCAGGCTGCAGCCTGCCCCGGCCGCGCGCCCGCGCTTACCTGCGATCTCCTGGTAGGGGATGTCCGCCAGGCTGAATCCCTTGGCACCGTACGCCTGCCGGACCTCGCCGCAGCTCCGAGCTTTCACATCCGCCCGGACCGGGAGGGATAGCAGCAGCCCCGAAAGGGGAAGAATCACAGCCCCGATCCAAGAAGGCATGGTGCAACATGCAAATCCAGCTCGGTAAACCCCAGGGCCCGTGCGCTCTTCACCTTGCCCCTCAAGCCGAAAGCCCGCCAGAGCCAGCGGCGCGCTCCTTGCCGCTGCCCAGAGTCACCCCCTTCCGCCAGCCGAGGGGACCAGCAGCGCAGCCCTCTGGACTGCACTCAGCAAACTTTTATAAGCCAGATGGAGGATGGAAAGCCAACCAGGGATGGCTGGGGAAGCAGCCGCCTTGCTTCGCTATCCCCTCAAATCGAAAACGGTGCAATAAAAAATGAAGAAGAGGAGAAGGAAAAAATGTTTAAAAAATGACCATGGGGGTTCAGAGCTGCGATCCGAGTCCCGAGCCGCAGAATCCTAGAGCGCTGCGAGCTCTGCTGGCTAGAGTGCGCCGCGAAGGTGGGAACGCGCGCCGGCTCTCCCGGGAGGGAGGTGGACAGGCGAGCGCGAGTGTGTGCGCGCGTGTATATGTTGGTGTGAGCGCGGGGTTCTTGGGGCTGTGTGTGCGTGGAGGTATGTGTTGGGGATATACGGGATCCGGAGGAAACCTCAGCTTCACACAGACTGAGGGAGCCTGTGAGAGTCCTTCTGAAATAGGAAGAGAGAAATCCTGGAGGCAGACACGAGAGGCTAGAGGGAAGGAGAATGGAGGGGAGAGAGAGAAACGTGCTACACATTGCACAGCCGAAATTCAGAGGCAGTGTCGACAGCAAAACCTGGAGTGGATCGTTTTCTACTCGGTAGGAGGGAAAAATTTTTTAAAAAGGAAACGTCCCTATTTTCTTATTCATTTCACATCCTTCATAACGATCCGACATGCTGCCTTCAATGGCATAAATAAGAAATCCAGAAGGACAAAGTTTTTTTTAAGTCTTTAACTTATGCTATTAAACTGCATTTTTGTGGAAATAAAGGACATTGGAATTCCAATTGTTGCTCTTGTCCTAGTGAAACACAAAGCCAGGGCAGAAATATATAGACGAGTCCCTGAGTAGCAGAGCACAACCGCCCCTTGATTTAGATGTATAATTTCTGTTTGGTTTTATTGTGTTTTGCTTTCAAAAAAAAAAAAAAACAGAGTACAGAAGCAAAGAAAAAGGAGAGAACCAGAGAACAAGGGTCAGGTACAGAAGGATACTGAAAGGGGGCCATGTCTTCCCTCTCATCAGATACCATCACATCCCAGACTTAGCTCATTTTCTTCCAAGTTAACAGAATTCTCAAGTGGAAAATCAGTACACTTTCCCTTTTACACCGAAGTTCTGTGAAATGGGATAAAAGTGAAGATTCTGGTTTGCTTAATTTCCATTGACTTTCTCATGCTAATGAGCACATTGAAGTCTAGAGGTGTTGAAATCTGGAGCACCAGCCTCTACAGAGTGGTGTAATTAAACCCAAGCCAAAGGTGGGGGTTGGGGGGGTGAAAATACTTGTTCACTGTGAGGCCATGGGTATATTAGGTCAGCACTCTGCAGAAATTACTAATTTGTGAAGCAAAATACCTAATTTGTGAAGTTCACTTACAAAGCTAAACAAAGATATCTTTCTGGTGATGCTGTTAATGACCAGAATTACCCACGAAATTTATTTTGTCCTCCTCATCACCAGCATCTTCATCTTCATTCCAACGCATTAGGTACTTCTTTTTCCTCTCTTTACTAATAAACTGCTTCTCTCTTAACCCACTGGAAAGATTCAAGTTTATGATCAAGGATCATTGAAACTTTGGGAATGCATTAAAAACAAGCTTGTTATTTACAGGAGGACTTTATCTTCTTCAAACTCCATAGCTAAAAACAAAACAAAACTCCTCAGCAGATGATTTCTTTCTGAAAACAATTTTTATTTTTTCTCTTTAAGTTTTAGCACAATTTTTGTGTTCATATGTGTGCTTACTGGCAGATCTTAAAATTATAACCTGTTTCCCTCCAAGTCTGAAATTAAAATAATAAAATATACTCTAGAATCTTCGTTAGCAAGGAATGAAGGTTGACAGGAGCAGAAAAAGAAGTCATTACTTCTGTGATATCTGATAACATGATCTCCTTTGCACTTTTGTTTCTGTTACAGGTGATAGTCATTGTGAACTCTAGAGGAAAAGCATGAATGCACACATACCTTACCCTATTAGCTCACACTGGGGTTCATTGTAAATTACTGTGAATTAACATTGGATAGCAGGTAGTCTCATAAAGGATATTTGAGGGGCTAGGGTTGTAGCTCAGTGGTAGAGCGATTGCCTTGAATGTGAGGCACTGGGTTTAATCCTCAGCATCACGTAAAAAATAAGTAAATAAAATAAAAATATTGTGTCCATCTACAACTAAAAAAATCTTTTTAAAATATATTTGAGGTGGAGGGAAATGTGTAAAAACAGTATGTGTGGCTTTAAACTATTTGAAGATCAACTTAATTCTTAAGTTTGATGAACTTAAGAGTATTTGATGCCACTAAACAGCACTAGCCTCTTGTACAGTCACTCCTAAAATGGCCCTAGGCTCTACGGCCAGGCTAGTACATGGAAAGAGTTACTAGCTTAATCAAGCATAAATAGATTAGCTTAATCCCCAAGCGAAGTTCAAACAGTTTCGAGTAGGTTTGTGACCTTTAGTCAAACCAAAGAATTCAGCAACTTGCTTGGTACAGTTATAAATTAATGTAGCACTGTTTGAAGTGGTGTAAAAGAGAAAATAAATAGAAGCAAGAGAAAGGTAAGTTGAGGAGACACCCAGAACTCTGCTACCATGGTAAAGGTTTTTGGTGATGGAGACTTAAAAGAGGATGGAAAATGGAAATGAAGTTAAATTTTGAGCAAAGGATCAGTATGATATGGTGTTTGGTTCGATACAGAAGAAAACTCACTAAAAATGTATTTTAAGATTTTGTTTCTTTGGGGAAATGTGGCATATTTTATAAGTAAGACTTCTGTTTTTACAGCACTTTCACATCCCAACTGGTTTTCCTAACAACCTTTCTTGGTCACAAGATGAATGTAACCTTAAAGATTTGAGTTGTAGAGAGGAAAAGACTTAGTCTTGAGCAACTGTAATTGACATTAGAGCAAACCCTGTCAATCATCTACTCCACAGCCATTGTGCCTTCTTCTTACTGACCTGAGACAGATTGTGTTTGGGGGGCATTGTGCCCACCACCAAGCCATAAGTCACAATTGGTTTAAGTCAATGTTGGTAATCCCTTTCTTTTTCTACTAGATAGTATAGGGGTAGAATAAGAACCATTTCTCATTAATGTGATTTAAGGAAAAGATTGAAAAAGCAGAAGGGTCTTTTGCCTCAGCCTCCTGCCTCCTTAGGGCTGGGTGGCCATATTGTGAACAAGAAACAAAACTTTGCCGACAGAGAGTCAATGGCAGAACTGGAGGCTAAAAAGAACTAGATCCTTCAGTTCCTATTTCAGTCACCAACCAGTCCTGGACTTCTTACTAAATAATCAATAAATATCCTGTAAGTTTGTGCCACTGTCATTTGGCTATCCTACTGTTTGCAAGTGAAAGCAATACAAGCATGTACCCCAGACTAAAGGAAGAAAAAGAGAAATTGCAGATAAGTGACAGGGATTGATTGCAAATGTAAGAAGAAGACAAAAACTAGGTAGCATTAGAGAATCCCAGTTAGGAGATTTTCGAACATGAAGCAAATTGCAGTGATCGTCACAGACAAAATGAGGGAGAAAATGGTACTTGGGTGATGATAAAGAGCCTTACTGGAAATTTTGGGGGAAACAGTTTAGTGGAGTAATCGGGTAGGTGCCAGACCACACGGAATATTATGTGAAATGAGTAGAAAGACTGTGGCAATGTTGGGTACAATTGTTGGCAGTGTGGTAACTTGCAGGAGGGATAAGCTTGGTCATCAGGCATGTCTTCTGCAAGAACCTTCCAAGACTTCAGGGAAGACAGACAAGATATCAAAAAGAGGTCAAGCTGGCACAGTGATGCATGCCCGTAATCCCAGCAGCTCCAGAGGCTGAGGCAGGAGGATCCCAAATTCAAAGCCAGCCTCAGAAACTTAGTGAGGACTTAAGCAAATTAGTGAGACCCTGTCTCAAAAAAGGGTTGGGAATGTGTCTCAGAGGTTAACCACTCTGGGTTCAATTCCTGGTATCCCAGGACCACCCCCCCCCAAAACAAACAAACAAACAAACAAAAAACAATAATAATGATTTAAAAAAGTAAAAATCCAATATGAGCTCATTTAGGTTAATTTTTTGTATTTTTCTCTTTCTTGTCTGCATTTTCTATGTTTTCTACAGGAAATGTAAGTTTTTCTATGATGAGAAAAACCATTGTTTTGAAATGAATGTCACAGTTTTAACAAAAGTATAAATATAGCATTTATGTCATATTTTCCAATGCAAAAAGTTCTTGTCATCATCTTATACATAATGGCTCTTAATATTTTTCTGAATAAAATAACAACTTTGGGGTATGAAATGGTTTTTTGTTAATTTTTTTAAAAGCCACGAGTTTAGAAAAAATGGAAATAAGACACAATAACAGAAAACTTTTGCCTTGTCGTACTAACTCGTGAATGAGAAAACTGGGTGAATTTTATTTTTTTCTTTGTGTTTTTAGATCAAAGTAGAACAAATAAGTTCAAATAGAATCTTATGAAAACAAGAGAATGGACTTCAAGTGTCTATTCCACATCTCAGCTTGGCACAAATCAAAATTGCTTAGTTAACCTGCCTCTTGAAAAACAGAGCCTGTAATGAAAAAGCTGTCAGAAATCTAACAACAGTAGCTCTGTCAGGTGCCTGGATAATGGGAAGGTTGCTGAGTTACAGAGAAAGAAAAGGTAAACTTGGGTGAATAATAACCAGAAATGGTAAAAACAATATTTCATTTTGTTTTTATGGCTTATGCCCAACCAAGTCCTAATAGCTCATTCAACACTTGTTTGAGTCTTTAGAGTATAGCTAGTGCTGATATAAAACAATAAAAATTATATCTTTAGGGCAGTTGAGAACCAATGGTACTGCTTGGGGAAAAGCCATTCAAGGAGGGACAACTGATTTCTTCTTGTCTTACAGTATTCCTTTAAGACTGTGAGCACGGAACTGTTCAGCTGCAAAGAAGGGAATCCTCTGATCTGCCTAATCTGATTTTTGCTTAATAGTTGTGATAGGGTTTAGCCAAGAGAACTGAAAGAAAGTATATCATGTATTCATAAGCATTACTCATATTTACTTGAAATACTACCACCAGTCATCAAGAAGGTATAAACAGAAAATATGTTAAAGCATTACAATGATTTAAAATGTTATTTTCAATTTCATATTTATTAACGATCCATTGATTCTAAGTGATTTCCATGCCTAGAAATGCATCTTAGGTTATAAAATACATTTAAATATTAAGTAACAAAATATTTACTTTCAAAAGCTGGTGTTAACAGTATGCATTGGAACAATCTTACAAATGTAATACTTGCTAAGCATCACTTTGTACCATCATTATTAGAAAAGCTTATTGTATAGCAGGAAGAGTTTCATTTAAAAAAAAGAAAGAAAGAAAACAGAGTTTCCTTTTTCATTTGATGGCTCACAATATTAATAAATGCTTTCAACAATATCATTATTTAAAGCTCACGTGTT